AAGTAAACGAGGAAGCCGAGCTTCAGGGGGTAGTAGCCAGGAATCCACACGACGACATAGTAGAAGAGGCACTCCTGAGCCAAGGCCGCCATTTTGCCACAGGCGGGTCCAGAACAGGGTGCCTAATAAATTGTTTTTCAACATTGATTCCCAAAAAGGTGGGGGTTACTTCTGGTTTCCCCTTAAATACCAAGAAACACACCGGTTGCGAGCTCTGGACTTTGATGGTTTGTTTCCCAACAGGACATGGGAAACCAATCTCCTACCAGTCCTTTTGCCAGTAGCCCATGTCACTGTTGGTCCTTTGAGCACCCAGGACGACTCATCTGAATCGGCAACTAAGAAACAAATTTCGCAGCCCAAAAGAAGAGCCTGGCTGACATCCGTTCTCTTTCCCAACGGTCCAATCAAACATACTCATACTCTCCTTGGGACCTCATTGCAGGAGCCTTCGAAATTCATCTTCGAAGCTGAATACCTACAATAACTGCAAATTTGTTTATATATATATATATATGCAAATACAATAACATAGAGCCGGCGGAGCCGGTGGTCGGAAGTTTCTAGAGATATACAAATGATAGGTCTCTGTCTCTTCTCTTTTCTCTTGTCTTTCTCTTTCTTTTATGTTTCTCATTCTTTTCTTTTCCCATTTCTCTTTATTTGTTTCTTTCTCTTTGTGTTTCTCTTTTTCTTTCTATTTCTACATTGTCTCTCTCGGTCTTTTTCTCTTTTCTTTCTCTTTCTCTTTCTTGTTCCCCACACTATTGTGCGGGGTTCTTGTTTTTCCCCACATCATTGTGTGGGGTTCTTGTTTTTACTGTCTTCGCCCATGTCTTGCGCGTTGTCTCCGCGTCCTCGATGCGTACTCCTCCTCCGCCGCCTCCGCCTCCTCAACTTACACTCACTTACTTTGTCATACTTACTCTCACACACTCAACTTACACTCACTGACACACTAACTTGCACACACACAACTTACACTCACTGACTTTGTCATACTTACTCTCACACACTCAACTTAAGGCAAATACGCAGGGCTTTGGAACCGTTCCTCACACAAAAGGAAGACCACCAAAGAGAGACCCCCTTCAGATGAGGCTCAAGGTAATGTTGCCGCCATGCTCCTTTGCCTAACGTTAGCTTTTTTGCAGCACGATGCACACACAAACCCCCTATTAACAGCTCAATTGCCACAGCACAGGTGGCGGCTCAGGTGGCGGCTGGGGTGGGTCCTGCGCACAACTGCTTGGACAATGACAAAGCAGGCTGAAATGCCCGTCCTGCCGCTCAAGCTTCAAGCCCATCTCTCCCTGATGCGCTGGACCTTCATCCTACGCGGTCTACGGCACGAGCCACCAAAGCAATGAGGACCACAATCAGTTTCGGCCTCGCACTGCGGAACTGTTTGAGCCGGAACTGTGTTTGTTTTGGTGGGGGGGGGGGTCCATGTAATTGGTGGCACAGTTTGGTCGAACTGCATGTCCAGACAAAGTGGCGTACACAAAAACATCCAAGCTTGCCCGAGTCAGCCGTTTGCACACTTCCCTTTGCTCGTGTATGTGGACCCTGTCAACATCATCACTTCGCAACGACTCTTCCATAGTTGCAGAAAAGCGAACACTTTTGAACGCGCTTACGGCTTGCCATTTCAAGAAATGCAGCCACTCAGCGTGGGTCCTCCGGGCTTCCGATGTTCCAGGTGAAAAGAAAAGACATCCCGGTCAACAGGAAAGGAGCGGCGGCCTCTTCGGGAGCTGCTGCGCCACCCTCACTTTCCTCCGCAGGGCCGTCTCCCTGCAAACTCCTTTGCACCTCCAACACCACCCGGCGCTGCGCTGCTGATAAGTCTATGTCGAGGAGGGCGCTACCTGGCTTGACCAAAGGCATGAACAAACGGCGCAGCCCTAGAATTTCTACACCTCTCAATCAAGAGCTCCCGTTGCCTCCCCAAAACCGCACAGCCTGAAATGAGGCAAGGCGCATGCGTCCAGCAAGTCTTGGCGATTGCAGCGAGACCATTGCTTTGCTGGCACGCCCTCACACTGGCTGCCTTCAACAACCTCTTTCAGGCTTTGTCGCCCGGTTTGTAAAGCCTCCTGCAACCCTTGCCTGTACGGCATGGCCTTGTTGAGCCCAACTCTAACAAATCTGTAACAGGTGCAGCTGTCTGTCACACACTCTGTCACATCCGTTATTCAAGTCCGTCTGTCACATCTGCTGCAAAACCCTTGAACGCTCCCCCCGCGCTTATAGGTTGCCAGCTGCAAAAAGGACCTGGAAAACGGACAGCTGCACACGGCTGGAAACAACTGCACACAATCACGCCTGTCTCTCTCTCCCTCTTCTTGCTCTCTCTCTCTCTCTCTCTCTCTCTCTCTCTCTCTCTCTCTCTCTCTCTCTCTCTCTCTCTCTCTCTCTTTTCTCTCTTTCTCTTTCAAGCAACAACTGTCAACGCTACATGTTTTCAACTGTTTGGGTTGCAAAACGTGAAAATGCATTTGAAACGGCTCACCCCAAGCCCGAAAGGAAAAGCGTGTCGGCCCTTAGAAGTGTCTTTTGCAACTGCGCCCCAAGACCACAAGCCAATCCAGCACAAACCAGCCCAACCCCTTGTGCACACCCAAACTGCCCTCTCAAGCTCGCTGTCCTCAGCCTGAGTGAGCGCTGGCCATGAGAGCAAATCTACCCTCGCAACGTCGATTATGGGAGCTGAAGCACTGCTGAAGCAAGCAAGCGTGCTCTTTGCAAACACCTATCCTCGCACTTCTCGCGCCGCTCCTGCCTTTGCCGCCTTTTCCTGCCGGCGCGGTCTCTAAATGTACAAAGTCAGCCTGCTGTCAGTCTCGCACTTTGAGCCCTGTTCACAAATAGCTCAAAACGCGTTCTGCGCAGGCTGCGCTTCGCAGCTTTACGGGCGAGCGGAAGCTTTGGCCGCTGCCTTGGCTGCGGCCTGACGCTCAGTCACCGCGTGCGTCAAGTCCTCGTCAGACAACATGGTCAGCGCAGCTTTAACCTTCTTCAGCTTCTTCTGCGCGGCTTTCAAAGACTTTGCCGTTGCCTTCTTCTTTGCCAACGCCTCCTGCTTCACAGCCTTAAGGCGGGCAATGCGCGTGGTCAAGGCAATGCCTGGCTCATCTGGCGACGGCAGCGCCTGCCAGAATAGCAGGCACAACACAGAAACCCCCACCTACCCGCACATGTGTCGCCTCTGAAGCAGACATGGCTCAACGCGCAGCGATGCTCTGAAGACTGAGTGATCTGCAAAAACAAACGCGAACACAGACTGCTCTGCCTGTGGCGCTGCAAAACATAGACCATCTGGTGGCTACAAGCTGGGCGCAAACTTTGCAAAGCAAGATTTTCAATTCACTTGTACGAGCGCTCAAATCTGACTGTGGCATCCCACTTGTGGGGGCCCAGTTTCGGGTCTTGGAATGGACTTGGAACCTTTGGACACGTCGGCGCGCCCTCAATGTTCCGGCAAAAGGTCGTGATAGCACACTGCACGGTTCCGCGGCAGAAGGCTTGCAATGACATCTGGAGACGGGGCAACAGCAGCAGGCGCCACCTCCAAGTACTTGGCCGCCGCACTTGCCAACGGTCCCCTCAAACCAGCACGGTCTCCAATGACTCCACACCGCTGAAACACATGAACCCACCGGCTGCTGCACAAAAAATGCGTTGCAGCCTTGTTGATCGCCAACGCCCAATCCAGCTTGGTGCAGACACTCTTTGTGGACAAAGCCTCTCGTGCTTCACGTCGGAGGAGGGCTTTCATGGGCGACTGTTCTCGCAAGAGCAGTGTTCGAGCCAACCGGTGCCACAGGCACCGAACAAGGGGGAACCAACCCCAAAACAACAAGACCCCCCCCGGTGCATTCACTCAGCACCTTGAAGCGAGCCAGTTGCCCCCCAACACACCTTGCAACGTCTAAAACGTTTCATGCGACCAGCATGAGGCGGCACTGCTTTGCATTTCACAACCGAGTGAAAACACTCGGCACACTTGCCCACCGAGATCCAAATACCCTCAAGAGGCGGATCTAAGCTCCACTGAGCCTGCACTCTGAAATAGTGCAAATGGCACCAGATAAATGCGCACACTGCGCCCAGTAACCAACCAATGGTCAGTGCAAACAACAAAATCCACTCGAGCATCGTAATAGTCACCAAAAGGAGTGGGCGGAACGCTCACTGACTTTGCCAACTAACTGTCACAACCTCAACTTACACTCACTGACTTTGCCACACTAACTTTGTCATCCTAACTCCCACACACTCGACTTACACTCATCTCACACACTCAACTTACGCTCACTGACTTTGCCACACTAACTTTGTCATACTAACTCACACCTTCGCAAGGTAATATAAAGTACTACGCCTGCCACGCGAAACAGCATGGGGGTGCAGAGAGCACTGCGCCTGCCACGCGAAACAGCATCGGAGCGCAGAAAGTATTGCGCCTGCCGCGCAAGAAGACCGCCGCCCCACGGCGGCCCACGGCGGCCGACCTTCGCCAGGTGATATAAAGTATTGCGCCTGCCGCGCAAGAGGCCGCGCCCCACAGCGGCCCACGGCGGCCAACCTTCGCAGGGTAATATAAAGCACTGCGCCTGCCACGCGAAACAGCATCGGAATGCAGAAAGTACTCTGCCTGTCACGCAAAGTATGACAAAGCCAGTGAGTGTTAGCTGAGTGTGTGAGAGTTAGTGTGGCAAAGTCAGTGAGTGTAAGTCGAGCCGTGGGCCTCCGTGGGGCAGCGGTCTTCTTGCGTGGCAGGCGCAATACTTTCTCCACTCCGATGCTGTTTCGCACGGCAGGCGCAGTACTTTAAATTACCTTGAGGTGGTCTACATCGACGCAGACCTGCCAAAACCCGCAGAGGGTCACTCTTTTTCGCGATTTCTATTCCCCCGCCACACGCCCACGCATGTTTTCTCGCATGCGCTCATTCCTTCTTCATCTTATCTGCACACAAACTCTCTGCATACGCTTTCTTTGAGCATGCGCTGTCTGATCTTCTAAAGCTATCTGCAAGAGTTATCTTTTCGCACGGGCTATCTGATCTTCTCATTCTATCTATCTACGCAAGCTACCTTTCAATTCGTTTCAAACTACGGAAGTTCCTTCTAAACTTCCTTTGACTATATGTATATGGGTCTGTGTTTTTGGAGTTGGTACCCTTGCTTGTGGTGAAAGAGTTAAAGGGAAACCAAGAAGAAACACCACCATTTTGGTTCAATCTATGCGAAATCCGCCCAATGTTGCGTCCAACATGACCAGAACCTCGGACTTTTTTGGGTTCTTCCGGTTGATTTCCGGTGAACGTTTCTGCCCGGCGTCAATGGAGCTGATTGCCGCGACCACTATCCAGTAGGTGAGCCAGAATTGCATACCTCGGGCGGCTCCGCTTCCCACCCTCTTTGCTCCACTCGGGAGCGGCAAAGAACCAAGTGCTTTAAAGCTGGTAGCTCGACTCAATTCCTCAGTGGATACCGGTTTCGTCTGGGTACCCTTCGTCAGGTCGGTACGCAAGTCAAGCCGGAGCCCGTTTTACGGAGAGTCGCCTTAGTTTGGCACATATTGTCCGTTAAACATGGAGCCCCCAAAAGCAACTCATGTTGATATATGTTGGTAGGAGGCTCTCTCTTGGACCCTCTTGTGTGGACCCAAACAAATGTTTTTTGATGGTCCCGCTCAATAAGTGAACCTTAAGATGTAAACTAAGCTAAGAGATCCCAGTTGATTTGGGACCAAATCATTTGAGGTCTGTCAAAAATCCCGACAAAGATACTCACAAACAAGGGGTGGCAAAAGGCCACCCCCAAGGTTTAGGTTGGGACAGTTGGGACTGGGTGTCTTTTTGGGCACGAATCTGACCCCCGCTAAAAAAAGTAGCAACATGTTGACATCAAGGAAGCTAAACAAAGTACACCAACAGAAAAGCTCGGGAAAATGAAGGAAACCATTCCCAAAAGTGCTCGAAATGGCACGTAAGCCTTCCGTCTGGCAATGAAACGGGGGGGGGCTCTACCAACGTGTGATGTGTCAGATAGCACGGGCGTCAACTAGCCCAATGCAAGGAAATCGTGACCCCACAAAGCGACAACTCGAAACAAGGCGGATCATTTCTAAGGGGTCCGTTTCAAGTTGAAGCCTACTTGAAGCCAAGCATTTAGTCTTGACACATAGCCGTGCTTTTTCCCTGCAGGCCGACGCACGCATGCCGTGCGATCGCAGCACAAGCCAGTTTGCCGTTGCAGCGCCAGGCAAAAAGGCAGTGTCCTCTTGAGCGCTGTGAGCAACTAAGAGACCTGCAAAATCGGTTGCCGTACTTCAGCGCTACCGACAACATGTCAGGCATCGCGCCTTGTGGCGAGCTATCAGGCGAATGCCTGCAAAATGTTTCAAACATGACCAGCGCACATGACGGGAAACGTGAGGTCCCATCATTTCCGCGCTGGCCTCTGTGTTCTGTGATGATGAGGTGTCTCAAATGACTCTTTGCGAGGAAACAGAAGCTTTAAACACTTAGTATCAGTCTTTCGGGCAAGCTGTAATTACTTCAGCCCACGCTTCACATGACATGTTCTTCATGCCTTTTAATAAAATAGCAAAAAAACTTATTTCCAACCGGGAAAGCTCCACTACCCTTTTAGCATAAACCTGCATCACGAGTGACACATCTCCCTTAAGAATCCATATGAATCAGGACCTTCCTCATGGGGGTCGCGAATGTAACTTGTGCTCTAAGCAGAAGTCCCTCAATTTGCGTGGAACTTGCAAATTTGAAGGTCACATCTTGTTGTTAGATTTGTGAAGCTTGCGGAAACTCACCTCCAATTCGCAGATCCTCTCCTTTCAGGCAACCCTTGGTTAGAGGTGGGATTTTGGACCCTGAGACACCTCATCTCAGCTTGCAGATCGGCTTGCCTCCGACTCAGAGCCGTGCGGTCTTGGGGTAGCCCTTGATGGCCGTGCGCACCGCAAGATCCGCCATGATCTCTTCGCTGCCGCCGTAGACCGCAGGGATCTTGTACATCCTGACGTGTCAGGGACTGGAAATGGCCGGGGGGGGGGGGGGCACCCAAAGGGAAACCATGGGAATTGTATAAACAGCACCCTTGGTAGACGTCATCTTGCATCTTGCGAACCTTTAACGGGGGACCAGTAGGAAATTGCTCAAACGAGAGGTGCTAAAACATGTTCAAACAAGGACTTGGACCAACTCTGGTCCGCGCTGGTCCTGTTGCAGTCATACCTCCAAGAAGAATCAGATCCTTCCCATGTTTTTCAACATCCCTACATTTTTCCAACACGGTAGTCTATTTCATGGTCAGGTCCCCCATTGGGCGGCTTCCATGTTCAGCCCCTTTCTCTGCAGGTCAAGGACGGCCTTGTAACTTGCTGAACAGCCCAATCAAACGCAGCAAAGACGGTCTTGGCAATGGGCTCATCAAGGGCTTCAAGCCGGCCCCGGGTAGAGGGACATCGATGACAACGCATGCCAAGTTTCTACGGGGATTTGTCATGAGGTCCCCATCGTGGCATCGATCCCAACACACAAAAATGCGACTGAGCACCCAAACCCTGATGCTTGGCTCCCAAGGTTGGCCCAACCCTGTCCGAGCCCGGATTGGTTTTTGGTGGGGGGTTCTTTCCTCAGAGCCACCTTCAAATTGGAGAATTCGGCAAATCCAATTTGGAGCCTCCAAAATGCTGATTCCTTTGGAGAGGGTAAGGTTGACCCCAGGTGGAGCTGGGGCCTTTCGCATTGACTGTGTGCGCCTCGGTCCCGGGGCAAAACAAAAAGCATCGTCGCGTGCAAAAAAGGTCGCGCCTGGAGAAGACCTCCGCCACGCGGCCCATGCCGGTCTGGGTGACGCCCCGTCCCCCGAAGACCTGGACGGCATTGTCCGCCACCAAGTGGTTCATGCGCGTCGTCTGGTACCTCGCGTTCTACCCCACAGGGACAGCCAGGTATGCAAAGGGAATACTTCCCCCCGTTTCCCAAAAGGCGCAATACGTCGGCTCATGTTTTGGGAGTGAAAACCGTCTTGGACCCATAGCATACGCAGTTATGGTATGTCCACCAACCCCTAATATCCTTTGAAATGAGCAAACCTAGGCCCCGGAAACCAAAAGACAAAGGGACCGGGTCCCTCTAGACTTCCGCTGGGCATGCTGTCTTTGCAAAAGGGGTTTGAAAGGTGAACGCTGAGCCCAAAGGGGATGTTCTAGTCTTCAGGGGCTCGAAAGGTAAACTCTGAGCCAAACAAAAGGTGAATGTGTACGCTCGTATGAACCCCTAGCTGTGCTAGTGAAACACTCATTGTGAGGACTCCGTACATAGTGGAAACGAGCACTAGGGCAAAGGCCCGCAATTGGATCAGTTTCCTGCTTGTTTCCCTTCAAACCAAACAGCCCAAAAAGGCATCACGTTTTTTCCCTGCGTCCTTCTTCCTTGGAAACACGCATTGAAATATCTCTCTGTGGGTGACTCCAAATTAGGGGCTTCGACTCGCCCAAGTGATCTGCGTCTTTCTGCTTCAAAGGCCATACGAGGAAAAAGATCGGAAAACATGTTTGCGGGTTTTCATTTGTAAACCACTACAAAAGTGAGGGGACTTCCCTTGTTCCAATTGAACATCCACCCCAATGACGCCAAGGGGCCCAAATGAACCCAAAGGAGCCCTGGAACCCCAAGCAATCATAAGAAACCCCACTTCCAGCATCCCTACCCTAAGGAACAAACAGGAACAGACAGTAAGAGGGAAGCTTGTTTAACGTAAGTCGCTCATCTTCAAGATTTCCAGTTCAACTGGGGAAGTGATCAGAGCTAAGGCAGAGCCGTCTCTTAAGATGGTTCTACCCTCCCACTTTTGATCCCCCTCTTGCCTCTAGTTCGCCAGGTTCCCCTTTCAGGTTTCGGTCAAAATGGACAAGAGTCAAAGACTGAGTGTTCACCTTCCTATGTGAACTCATGCGAACAAAAAAACTAATGGTATACCAACTCTGAAAGCGACGAGCCCCCCGAAGACACAGCCGAGGCGCTTGAGCAGCGCGATGCGCGCCCCGACCTCAGCGCCCTGAGAGCCCATAGAGATCATGTTGTGGGTGATGTCATAGAGCATCTGGCTGCCTCGGAGCAGATGGCCACAACAAGGGGCTCATGAACTTGACCTCAATTCCCTCCAAAAGATAATAAACAAAAAGGGCATTTTGGGGATCTGGGGTCTCTAAGGATCTGGACCCTGGACCCTCAAAAAATGGAACCAACCCAAGAAGGGGCACCCTCAAAGACACTCGTTGAGGTGGATGCCTCATCCTGCCCTGCAAGCAAATCATGCATACAGCAAACAACAGCAGACAATATATGGTACTCCCCTACAGATTGACATGGAGCCAAAAAGCCATCTAGAGGAAGCTCCTTTTGGGACATGAACCCCCCTGCTGGGCTCCATGTTTCTTTGTAGGGGAGTAAATGTTTGGGGGTTCAATGATTGTTCCAACTACTGAAAGGCCCAGACTGCTACCAATCCAATGGGCGGGAACTCGCAGCAAGTGGATGGAAGCAGAAACTATGCAGTTGAGCAAAAGTGACCCAAGAAGCCTTTACTCCCCCCAAGCAAAAAAAGAGCAATCAGTATACAAGGAATCATCCATTTGGGCAAGCGAGGTTGGCATCATTCAATTCTCCTTCGTTCTGAGACAATGCAAAAGATGTGGCCGGGTTGGAACAACATGGTGGAAAGGCATACACTTACTATGATGCCAACACGGGGTTTCTATTCCATGAACTTCAAACAAGCGCCATAATATGTATGCATATATACATATATATGGCAATGTATGGAGTCACCCCCATGTTCACTCTTTCGGAAGGCTTGGCCCCTTTTTTCATCATGGTTGTGCAAACTGTGGCTTCCAGGCCACTTTCCACGAAGCGAATCTTTGTTAAGGTGATAGAGTCGCGAAGTGCCAAAAAATCACTAGCGACCTCCATCGCCGAGCTTGAGCGTTCACAAAACCTTCAAAAACAGCTTTCCCGAGGCAACGCATGACCAAATGACCTTCCCCTTTTACATTTCAAGACAAGACCTTCAGAGGACTCCCATATTATATCTACGTGGCCCACATGAAGTAATGCTCTAAATTCAATGTACTCCCTCCCACGAATTCCCACGTATTCCTTTTACAGATTCTTGGTGCCCCGCTCCAGTTTGCCCCTTCCTTTGACACCAAACCACATTAGGCTTTCAACCCCAACCACATCGGCCCAAAAGGTGATGTTGAAAAAGGAGACCGCTCCTCCCACTCCTGCCCCCAATGGGACTGTGGGAATGACCCCCATAAACCATGCCTTGTGGTTTCCGGTTTCCTTCAAGGGAGTCCC